GGGGGGGGGGGGGAAATAAGCAATCTGCTAATCTGAAAAAAAGAAAGTAGCAGGTTGCTTTATTACTTTTCCCTCAAAATTAACTCCAGTATTTAAATATGTATATCTAGATCTCATAGCTGCAGAACAAATGTAAATGCCCCTGCAATCCATTATATGTCTGCTACATGGACTTAGCATTTCCCATTTTGACAGAAACAGTTGCATTACCTAGACAGAATAGAATATTATCATAGAATCCTAGAAAGGTTTGGGTTGGAAGGGACCTCAAAGATCATCTTTGTTCCCTGCCATGGGCAGGAATAACTTCCTGGGTGCTTCAAGCCCTATCCAGCCTGGCCTTGAACACTCCCAGGCAGGGGGAAACCTGTGCCAGGGCCTCACCACACTCACAGTAAAGACTTTTTTCCTAATATCTAATCTAAACCTACTCTCTTATGTAGCAGAAATATAAAATCCCAAACAAACAAATCGGTTTTGTTCTGAGGGTTTGATTGATCAAAAAGCAGCAATAAACCCCAAGTTTCCTCCCTGCTCTCTGGACATGGCTTGCTGGCATGGAAACCTGCACAGGCATTATCCATGCAGCAGAATACACCAGAATACAACGTGAGTTCCCAAACTGGGAATCAGGGAGAGCAACATTTTTTTAATGCAGTTACAAAGTTGCTCCTAAAAACAGAGATTTTGCATGAAAATAACAGATTAAAATCTTAAATGGATCTGTCACATGGATCTCATTTTGATCAAGACACCTCCTTGTGAATTTGATTATTACCTAACCCAGGCCCAAATGCAGCTGTGTTCTCTGTGGGGGATATTCTTGCTTTCTACAAGGCCCTGGCAGGAGGGTGGAGCCAGGCAGGTCTTGGGCTCTTCTTCCAGGTAACAAGTGATGGGACAAGAGAAAATGGCCTCAGGTTGTGCCAGAAGAGGTTCAAGATGGATATTGGGAAAATTTCTACCCAGAAAGGGCTGTCCAGCCCAGGCACAGGCTGCCCAGGACAGTGGTGGAGTCCCCATCCCTGGAGGGATTTAACACATGTAGATGTGGCACCTGGGTGTGGACATCATTCTCTGAGCCTGAGAGAGTTTTCTGCCTGTCAGTGGCTGATCTGTTCCCAAAGGAAAGTTTCTTGAGAACATTTTTCTCTCAAGGACTGATTTTTGTGAATAGATTTTCGGTTCCCAAAACAATATTGTACAGATGTCCTGAGTGTTTTCTCTTGTTCCACCAATGGGATGAGAGAGGTGTTGTTCCCTTTACCAATCACGTTAAACCTGCATCGGAAAAGGGGCTGGAAAACCCCAAAATAAAGCCTTCTGATGATATCTCTGGCTGCTGTAATTGAATCCACGCTCCTATTTCCTGTCCACTAGCGACACCTGGGGACATGGTGTAGTGGTGACCTCAGCAGTGCTGGGGGAATGGCTGGACTCCGTGATCTCAGAGGGCTTTTGCAGCACAAACTATTCTGTGATTCCATATTTAGCAGCAGTTTAAAAGAAAAAAAAAAATAATAAAAAATATTATTGCCTTTTAAGACAGTTCATACTTCCCCCCCCCCATCAAAAACCCTTTCCTGCCCCACTGTGACCACAGGCTGTGCTGCTGGTAGCTCTGGTCAGTAGCAGGAGCTCAGTTGAGCTGTATGATCCAAATCAGCTCCCAAAACACTCACCTCCATCTCTCCTCTGGGGACAAGAGTGAAAGATCGACCTAGGGAGGGAAAAAAAAGCACCCATGAAATCAGCTGCTGGGAAGCTCTGGATTCAGATGCTTTAAATAAGAAACCTTGACATGCCCACAGTGCCAGCACAGCCCAGAGCTGTCCTTCACCATCCCAGGAAGAGCAGTGATGACCACAACCACCACTCCCATATTTTATTGGAGCCGAGGCTCTGCCCACCATCCCACATGATCAGAACCAGTGAACTAGCTTAAATCCCACATTCACAACCCAGCCAGGTGTCTCAGAGTGGTGATCCCAGTGAAGCCAATGCTCCCACCAGTGGTAGGATCCGAACAGAAGCTATGTTCTGGCAGAGTGTTGTCTCCAAAGGATTCTGAGTGGCTCCAGTTAAAATCAGCTATGTGGTGTCCTTCTCCTCCCAGGTGCCTGGGGATTTCCTCTGGGGGGCTGAGTGTAGGGGTGATCCCTCTGAGCTGCTGGGGTCTCTGAAAAGGTGGGTTGGGGTGTGAGAGGATGCAGCACTGGCTCTCCTTGTTAGGCTGAAGGGCAATGATTCACATGATTCTTACTCTCTCAAAATGGGGTGTTGTTCCTGTAGGTTACCAGAGAATTCTGTGCTTCTCTCCTGTGCCCAGAACAAGCTGGAGCTGGAGGAGAGGGCATTTAGGGAGGGGTTGGTGCATGATGCTGTGTCCCTGCAGTGTGTGCTGGACTCCAGGCTGCCAGCAGCGAACCTGCTGAGTGAGGATGGCACACGGCCCTGGCCTGGCTGCCCCAAGGAGCACAGCAGGCAGCTGAGTGTGGAGCTGCACCTAGGGAGAGCCAGTCCCATTGGCTGTGTTGATGTTGGTACTTGCCTGTCCTCTGCCCCCATGCAGGAGCCAGGGCTGTGCCCCACAATGGGGTCAGCAGCTCTGAACCCCCTCACCCCTGTGCTTCTCGCTGCTCCCCAGGGAAGTATGGCTGTGTCTTTCTGCAGACTGAGGTTGGATGTTCCTCATGGCCCTGTGACCAGCCCTATCTCACCCTGGTACCCACTGTCACACTGATGACACCAGCTGTCTTGAAGCTGGACCAGAATTGCTGCAGGGTTTGGATATTTAAGGAGGGTAAGGACTGAGCCAAAGGAAAAAGGCATGGGGAAGAGCTGTGGGCCTGGTGGTTGGATGGAGCTGATTAGGGTGGATGGTGATGGAATGGGGGTGGCAGTAGGATGTGGCTGATAGGAGGGTAGAAGAGGACAGGTAGACCAGGGATCAGGGTTGTTCATGTCCTCAGGAAAGCTGTACCAGCTCTGCTTCCCTGCTCCAGCCTCTCTTGTGCCCATAATTCCCCAAACACCCTGGGTGGCAAAGCAACAGAGCAACAAGCAGAGGCAGGAGTGGTGTTGGGACAGTGATGAGTACCGTGCTCCATCCACCCCAGCTGCTCTTCCCCACAGAAGATTTCTGAGAGCTGGTGGTGGGGCAGAAGTGGGACTGAATGCTGTGACAGCTATATCTGGTCTGGGAGCTGCACAGATGAATTTGACACAACAGACCACGGATCAGCCCAGTACATTCAAGAGTAGAAGTAAACAAGTCCCCGGGTAAGACAGTGATAGGTTGGATTTGGATTCAAACAGGAGACACCAGCCAATCCCATTCAAGACGGAATACAGACATATCATTGGCCAGTGAGCTGGGCAGTGTTAAGACCCCAACCAATCAAATGCTCAAGTGTGGGAATTTTGAAGCCCCTATAAAAGGGGGCACTCATCAATAAACTCCGGGTGTTGTTGCATGAGCTCGGTGTGTTTGGTTGTGTGCCTGACTCCAAAACTGCAACAGCGTGCAGCTCACCTGCAGCCAGCCCTTCAGTCCGTGCAGCTGCTTCAGGCTTTCCATCTGCCTGTGCACACTGCAGGAGCAGGAGCCTGACCCCCCCAGCCACCCTGGATGCAGTAGGTGTCTCTCGCATCTCCATGGGGAAGCAGCAGGAAGGGGCCACTCCTCCATGGACATCACTTGTGCCCCATGGAAAGCCCGGGAGGTGCTTGCTGGGCTGAGCTAGTGGCACCAGAGTGGTGGGCACAAGGTACCAGTCTTAATTGCCTGGAGCCTCCCCTTGTCCCACAGGAGAACACTGAGCTCTCCAACAGATCCTGGTGCTTCAGCTCTGCCTGTTACCACTTTCTTTCTTGAACCATGCATGTAAAGGGGCCTGGTGTGGTCCATCCCATCCTGTCCCTGCACAGTGTGGTCTGGAGCCCTTTGAGGTGCTTCCTTGGAGCCCAGAGCCCCAGCTCCCACCAGCTTTGTCCTCCTGTGAGGCTGACACTCCCTATCCCCAGGAGATCCAGGGAGGAGGAGCTGCCTGTGGAAGCTGGAAGGGGCTGCCTGGAGCCCACCTCAGCCACTCTGCCCAGTTGGTGCTGTTGGCAGAGTAGAACCAGGAGCTGAGGCCCAGAGCTGGCACAAGTACCCTGGGGGCTCACCCAGAGCTGCCGGCCGAGGATGCAGGAGGTCCTGCAGTGCCAGGTGGGTGAATCTGCACGGCCTTGTCCTGGGCTGGTCCCCAGCCACTGTGGGCAGTGGGGCAAGGGGGAATTCTGCCCCTCTGCTCTGGTGAGACCCCACCTGCAGAGCTGCCTCCAGCTCTGGGAGCCCAAACATCAGAAGGGCTTGATGGAATGAGACCAGAGGAGGCCATGGAGGTTCTCTTGAGGAGCATCCTCTAATGTGGAGACAGACTGGGATATCTGGGGCTGTTCAGCCTGGAGACAAGAAGGATCTGAGAACTGGGAGCTCCTTCCACTGCCTAAAGGGGCTCCACAAGAACTGGAGAGGGACAATGGCCTGGGAGGACAAGACAGTGGGAAATGGCTTCAAATAGACAGAAGATAAGGTTAGATGGGATATTAGGAATAAATTCTTCCCTGTGAGGGTGGTAAAATACCAGCATAGATTGCCCAGAGCAGCTGTGGCTGTCCCATCCCTGGAAGTGTTCCAAGGCCAGATTTGATGGGGCTTGGAGCTACCTGGTCTGGGGGAAAGTGTCCCTGCCCATGGTGAGGGGCTTGGAACTAGATGAGCTTTAAAATCTCTTCCAACCCAAACTGTCCTTTGTCCCTGTGATTCCTGCCTGCTCTTTCCCAGGCTCTGCACTGGATGTCCCTGCAGCTCCTCTGAGCACCTGCAGGCAGCTGGACAGGCACTGTACTCCCAGCCCTGTTGGTAGGTAAATCCCACATGTCACTGTCTTCCTCCTGCCCTCACCCTGGCCATTTACCATTCTCAGTCTTTCCCAGATAGTTCTGGGCCCAGTCCTTTACTCTTTTGGGCTAGCAGAATGTGGCATAGGATGCTTTCAGCATGTGACTCCTCTGCAGGGCTCCAGCTGCCACCTCAAGGACGGACACCCAGGGTGAACGGAAGAGCCCGAGCCTGTGGCGCTCAAGAGACACGTCAGGAGGAATGATGGGACAGGCCAGCAGTGATGAGGAGACAGATGTCTGCCCCATCTCCTCAGGTGGGTGCTTGGCAGGGTTGTCCTCTGGTGGCCAGGGGACACTGAGCAGCAAATGGGGATAGTGGTGGCAGTTCTGTGATGGGGACATATGGCTCCTGCTGGTGCCCTGGCACTGGAGGGACATCACAGTGCATTCCCAGGCTGCCATGAGAAACATCAGGGAGGATGTCAGTCCAAGCCCCACATCATCAGTGAGCCTGTGACAACCACATCACCTTCACTTTCCACAGGCTGCTTCCTGCTGGATCTGCTCCCACACACACTTCTCAGTGTGGAGAAGACCCCACCACAGCCTGGTCTCATTGGGATACAGAAAGACGGGGTCAGCTGAGAGATGTTATAAAAGGTGTTTTATTGCATAGTCAGTCTCACAGAAAGGTGAGACTTTTAAGGTGTTACATTCAACACCATCAAATCAGAGGCTGTCTTAATTCTAGTTACAATGTCTTTTATAAATTTCTTAGCCAATCAACAACTTACATAAAGCTCGCTAGCATCTTCATAAACCAATCACTAATTGCTTTTTCTCACACCATTCTACTGCAATGCATCTTTTCTTATCCCATCATATAACACTACAGAAACTTACATTGCTACATCTTTAATTTCTAACTAGCTTTATAAAAAGTTCTACTGCTAGACTTTAAAATTTTCTGTATCTTGCTTAAAATATTTATTTGCTTACATGAGGCATATTTCTGCTTGCTTAAAACACATTTCTGCTTAAACTATAAACTTCTATTCTCACTTCATGTCTGTTTCACTTTATTGCTCTAAAGCTTCAAGCCTTCTCCAAGGTCTCAGGTCAAACATTGTATCCATCTCTGTCTCTGAGCCTGTATGTTCAAGGCCTTCAGAGCTTTCTGTGCCTCCATTTCCCAGTGTTTCTTGTCCCCTGATGCCTGGGTGTCCTGCCCCATTGGTGTGGCAGAGGTGGAGCAGCATGCCAGCAACTGTGGGGAGACACAAGAGGCCCTGTCCTCACCTCAGTGCTTGCAGTAGGACAGCAGAGCTGGGGACAAACCCTGTGCCACCACCCCTGAGGGCTGAACCTGCAGTACTCCAAGGGCAGAGACACTGCAGCCTTTGCATTGGTGGCAAGGCTGGTATGAGGATGGAGAAGGTGCATCCAGCCCCATAGCCAAGTTTGATGGGGTTTGAAGCACTGTAATGGCAGGAGTTTCTACTGGAGAAGAAAAATTAAAGAAGAAAAAGAAGAAAGACAGGAATCTTCATTATGACTGCTTGGTGCTACAGCAGGTTCCCTGGGTGAGCATCCTGCATTGGGACACCTAGTGTAGTTCATGAGGAAGGTGACAGGACAACAAGGGGGTCATGCTTTTCTTCCCCTCAAGCCCTGATAAGGGTTCCAGTGCATATAGACTGTAGGAGAAGGAAGCCAGGACTCCCAGAGCAGTTGAAAAATACACTTTATTTACAAGTAGAAAGTGCCAGCCCCTGCATCCCTCTGTGTTTTTAGCTCTCAACCTCTGTGCATCCCCTTGCCTTGGGTTCTGGAAGGGTTTAGGGTGATGATGGGTGCAGGAAGGGCAAGGGGACCTTGTCATGCCCAGGGCACTCCCACAGTTGTCTGTGGGATATTCAAGGCAGTCATGTGGGTGGTCCCACCTGTTCCTCCTCAATAGATTGTAAGAGAATAGAGATAGTGCCGCAGGCAAATTTCACCACTAACGAATTGCATCTGTATTAACTACCTAAGAGTGGAAGCAGCCTTGCCCTTAACAGGTCACAGCTATGTCCCATAAGGATGGGTGTTATAAGAGTGGTGTGGCCAGTCATGGGCAGTAGAAGGAGCAAGACAAGCAGTTGGTGTTGTGTGGAGCTGCCCATGGGAAGTTTACAGAGAGATGATGTAAGAGGTTTTAAGATAATAAGGGACTGATGTTTCCATCAGTTGTGTGTCCACCATCAATTGGTGTCCTCTGTGAGGAGCTACCAATAACACCCCTTAGTGCTCCTGAGCCCTGGGGGTTCAGGGAGAAGTAAGGGGGTGCAGGTGGGGGCCAGGGCAGAGCCAGCAATGCAGGCACTGGGGAAACCTCAGGGTTGTTGGTCCTTGTGTGACTGACCTGTAAAGGTCAGAGCAAAGACAGGAGGTTAGGGACTGTGAACATGACCAGGGTCCCATGCTGGAGCCTGCTGTTGCCATGGCACCCTAGGCACAGCAGGGACTGTCCCCCCTCTTCCCCATGGCCAGTATGAACCCAAGGCAGGGGTTGGGGGCACGGGGGTGAGCATGAGCTCAGAAGTGTGCCCAGGGGGTCAGGCAGTATCTCCCTGGCCCTTGGGGGACTTGGTGGTGCTGCTGGTGGAGGTTGTGGGAGTGCTCCTCTGGGTACCCATCTGGCACAACAGGCACTTCCCCAGCTCCCTGGGGTTGAGAGTATGCCTCCATGCTGCAGAGGAGGGGCAGGACAGAGTGGTCCCTCCCGATCCCTCTTTTTTCCCTCTGAAGCTTAACTGTGTGGCTGGGGCTGGCTGCTTGCTCTCTTGACTGACCTGGGAACCACTCTGCTCACTGCAGTCCTGGGTGGTCTGGGGCCATGGGAAGCAGCAGGTTTTCTTGGACTACAAAACAGGGGACCAGCCAGTACTGTCATGTGTGGGTCACCCTGCTGTGGGGCTGGCAGCAATGAGGGAACTGAGGGGCTGCAGGGAGGGGATGGGAGAGAGGGTAGCAGTGCCCAGGGAAGGCAGGAAGGCCTTTGCCTCTGGAATGGCCTCTTTGGCTCCCAGCACTGGGAGCATCACGAGTACTAGACCTGCTGCTGGATGCTGGGAACACTGGGCACTGGGATCCAGGATCAGTGGGAACATGTGGCCATTGGGGGTGTTACCCACAGGGCCACAGCAGCTCCCTCAAAACCTGGAACACCTGTTGTTCCCAGTAGGGTGCTGTGATGGGGCACTGGGCTGAGCTCACCAGGGGTTGTCAGGGCCCTGGTGGGTCTCTGAGAGGCGCTTCCTCTGCTGCCAGGTAGTGATGCTGCTGGCCTGGGTGCTGCACTGGCTGCCTGCCTTGCTGCCGGCGGTGATGATCTGGGAGGGCTGTGTGCTGGCATGTCACAGCACACACTCTGAGTCCCATCTTCACATCATGAGGGGATGTGGGGATGTTGCTGAGGAGCACTGTCTGTTCCCAGACCCCCTTCCTGAACCCCAGTTCTGGAGAAAGGGCTGTCTGACCTCCCCCTCCCAGCCCCCACCATGTTCTCTAGGGGTTAGCTGGTCTTCACGTGGGGCGGTGGGCCTGGTTCCACTGCTGCAGCTCTGCAATGCAGTTCCAGTCATCTGGCTGCACCCTCTTTTCAGGGAGCCGTTTCACCCTTTCATCTTTCCAGGGGAGAGATGGTCCCCCCTGCCTCCTTTTCGTCAGGCTTAGTCTCCCCCAACTCCCTTAGCTGCTGCTCATCAGTCTGGTGCTCCAGATCATTCCCCAGCTTCACTGCCCTTCTCTGGAAACTCTCCAGTACCTCAATGTGACAATCTCTTTCACACCTAGAAATGTGTCCCACAACCCCAGTCCCTGTGCTGAGCAGGACATGGATTCAGGGGTGTGCAGAAGCAAAATACCCTCCTTTTTTCCAGAAGGGCTCTCCCACCCACAGCCCTCCTGCTGGGAGTGGAACCCCTACCTGAGTTGTCAGTCTTTGCTTCTCTTCCAGGAGCTGCTTCTTCTCTTCCAGAGCTGCTGCTTTGCTGCTCTCATACTCCTTACTCATATCCTCCAGCTTCTGTACTGCTTCCTTAGCCTCCTGCCTGCTGCTGGTCACCAGCTTCTCAGACGCTGCCGCAGCTGCTCCAGCTCCTGCATGTGCCGCTCCCTGGCCTGGCCTAGTTCTGCCTCAAGTTGCTGCTGCCCTTGGCTGTGGCTCTTGCTGAGCCCCTGGTTCTCCTCAGCCAGCTGAGCATTGGTCTGTTGCAGCCCTGCCAGCTGTGCCCCCGCCTCTGCTGCCTCAGCCTGCAGCCGCTGAATGGCCCGGTCCCGTTCTGCCAACTGCTCCCGCAGTGACGGCACCTCAGCCACCTCCAGCTTGGCCTGCGCTAGCTCGGCTTGCAGTGCTGTCGCTCTGTTGGGAACAGTGAGAAGAACAACACAGACTCTCTTGTGAGCTGAACAGGAGAGCTTAAGGTTTATTACCTCAGATCTTCTTTTATAGACCAATATGTGAAAGTACAGAAAGGTAAAACTCTCATTGGTTAGTAAACTAACACATCACCATCATTGGTCAGTGGGGTACACTACCCCTCGACCTTCTCTTGCAAGAAAACAAAAAACTGACAAACAACACCAGCAAGGCTGTCTTCTATCTCTGAGGATTGTTTTAATTCCTCCTTATGATTTCCCAGGCCACTTTCTAGGCGAGACTGAGAAAATTATGTGGCCTGCTTTTCCAGAGGCACTGTGCTCCCTGCTTTTGCTCATATTTAGCATCCATACAGTGTGGACATGGCTTTTACTCTCTGCTCCAGGTCCTGGCGGTGCCGGCTTTCCAGGGAGACACGCTCGGCCCGAGCACTGTCGAGCTCCTGCTGCAGGGCAGCCAGGAGCTGCTCCTTCTGTAGGCACTTGTCCTGGCAGACCTTTGCCTCCTGCCGCAGCTCACCCTCCCGCTCGCTCTGGCAATGGCGGTCCCTCTTCAGGGCCTCGATGGTCATCCGCTGCTTCTCCATCTCTTCCTGGCACCGCTGCACCTCCACCTTCATCAGTGAGCACCTCTCAGCTGCACGGGAGGCTGCGGTGGCCATCTCCGTCTGCAGCACCCGCAGCCTCTCCTCCAGCTTCTTGCTCTTCTCCGACTCAGCCAGGATCAGGCGTTTCAGCTCCTTGCTTTCTCCTTCCTTCTCCATCACCTGACGATGAAGGATGGAGACCTCATGCTCTAGGCTGCTGATCAGACTGTTCTTCCTCTCCATCTCCTGGACACGCTGGGATACTAGCTCCTTCCAGCTCTCCTTCTCCTCCACAGCATAGTGAAGGGACGCCAGCTCCTTCTCTGCTATCCGCAGCTGACCCATGGTGCCTTCCAGCTTCTTGGATTCTGGGAGAGCCGTTGGGAGACTCCCTCCAGTGCCTTAGCAGCTCTCTGGGCATCTCCCACCAGCTTGGCCACACACTGGGCTGCTGTTTGCTCTGTCACAGTCATCTTCTCCTGCAGGGAGGAAATCTCGGCCCTCAGCTTCTGCTCCTCACTCTCCTTCTCCTTTGCCCATGACTGAGCGCTGGACAGGTCAGCCTGGAGGGCAGCCAGTCGCTCTGCCTGGGCCTCCAGCACAGCCACCTTCTCCTGCTCAGCCTGCAGCTGTGCACCGTGTCTCCTGCAGCGCCTGCATTTCCTCCTTCAGCCGCCTGCACTCTTCATCCTCCCCTCGGGGAGCAGGAGAGGCTCCCATGGGCTGCTCTCGGCTCTCCTCCAGCACCTGGCGTGTGGCCAGCTCCTCACTCCGCTTCGGCAGAGCTGGCTCTCGGTCCTGAACCAGCTGCTGTCTCTCTGCCTCCAGCTCAGCGATCCTGGCCAGGTTGCCCTCCAGGCACTCAGCTGCCCGTCTCTTCTCATCCTCCAGTATACCCTCAGTGTTCCGCAGGGATTCCTCCAGGAAGAGCAGCTGCTCCTGCAGGCGGCTGTTCTCCCGAGCCAGCTTCTCCCTCTCGGCCAGCTTCTGCTGGCTCTCCTTTAGCCTGCCCTCCAGCTCCTGCAGCTGGGCTTTCAGTGCCTCTGCTGCCATTCCCTGCTGCCGTTGGGCACCCAGCTCCAGGATCTGGGCTTCCAGTTCGCTGATCTTGCGGCTTAGTGCGGCCTTCTCCTCATCCACGGCCTGCAGCTGGCTGCTCAGGGATGTGTTGGCCTGCTGGAGCTGCTGCAGGGCAGAGTCCCTTTCCCGCAGGGTCTGCTCATGCTGGACACTGAGGGCAGCCAGCTGCTCAGCCTGGCCCTCAGCAGCCTGTGCCTGCAGGTCTCGCTTCAGCCTCTCTCGGGCCTGGTGGCTCTCCGAGAGGGAGCTCTGGAGGCTGGTGACAAGGCTCTCCAGCTGCTGCTTCTCCTCCTCCAGCTGCACTCCTTTGGCTGTGAGGCTGGACACCTCCTGCTTCAGCTCCTCCAGCTGCCAAAGAGAAGAGCAGGGAGACTATTGGGTCTGACTGAGACAGAGAGATAGTGCTGCTCAGCAGTAGCCAAAACACTGGTGTGTTATCAACACAGCTACCCATGCAAAGCACAGCACTGTGAAAGCTTCTAAGGGAAAATGAACTCTTAACATTCCCCTCAGTGAGGGTCTAGGAGTGGGCAAGATCCTGGGAGGTGACACTATGAGGCCAACTGACCCAAATTAACCAAAGGAATATTCCACAACTTGTGATGTCAGCTCAGACACAAAAGCTAAGGGGTGTACAAGGAATAGGGGGAATTCATTATTTTGGTGTTTTCCTTGTGGAGCAACCACTCCCCATGCTGAAGCCCTGTTTCCCAGGAAGTGTCTAAACATCACTTGCTGATAGGAAGTAGAGATTGACTTTTCTCTTTGCTTATGCATGCATAAACTTTCACTTTTCCTTTTTTGATTTAGTAAATTACCTTACCTCAACCTATTAGTTCTTTTCCATCTTATTTTACTCTTCCCTGTCCTGCTGGAAAGGGAAGTGATAGCAGGGCTTGGTGGGCACCTGGTGCCCCGCCAAGATCAGACTGCTACAGGGACAAAACATGCACCCCCTAGGTGTTACTCAAGCTGTAGCCAACATGCTCACCAGAGCCTCACATGCTGCATCCCACTGAGAGCTGCCCAGTGTCTGCCTTCCCTCCCATCACTCCCCCAAGCACACCTTCCTTCCCCCTCAGCCTTGTGCCACTCTGCTCCCTTGGACCAAACACCTTTTTCTCACCCTGCAGGAGATGCTCTCTTCACGACCAATTCATGTTGTGAGGGGCCTGTGGAGCCACCAGCTCCCTGGGAGCAGTATTTGCAAATTCAGCCCAAGAAGGGGTCTCCCACAGTGTTCAGCCCCATGTGACCTATCCAGCAGCAGAAAGCAGCAGCCTCTGCCCCACATGACTTTGCCATCCATCTCCTGGCACCTGCTGCTCTCTCCAACTGGAGTAGTTTCCCATTCAAGCCCTTGCTGCAGGAGCCCCAGTGTACCTTCAAAATGTCCCCCATGACTTCTCCCTTCTCCTGGGTGCTGCACTCCTCCAGCTTGGCCAGCTGGTCCTCCAGCATAGAGATCTTGCCCTGCAGAATCTCGATTTTTTCTTCTGAGCATTTCTGGGGACAGAGATGGGACTGAGCATGGTGCAAGACAGAAGAGCCAACCAACCCAGGAGAGGCACAGTCACCCAGTCAGGACTGACACCCTGCTTTTCCAGCAGCTTTGTCTCACCCCACTGCAAGGACAGCAGCCCATCCCACCATGGGGAACCCTTCCTGGGAACAGGGAGAGGCTTCCCACATGAGCTGACAGTTACACAGCTTCTCCCCATGAGCTGGCACAAACAGGCAGGAGGCTCCTGGCTGCTGCACCCTGCTTGCAGTTGGGGTGTCCCCCAGCTGGGGGGAGCTACAGAGGGGCACCCACCACTCCCCAGGCCCCCTGACCTTGTCCTGCAGGGCAGCATGCAGTTCCTTCTCCAGCTGTTGCTGTTTCTCCTGAAACTGTGCCATGGCAGTGTTGTGCTCTTCCAAGAGCTCATCATGGGCTCGCTGCAGCTGGACCATGTTGCTGGCAAACTCCCGCAGCTGCCAAATGAAAATCCACCCAGTCCAGAAGAGAGTCAGAGGGTGCCCTGGCCATCCAGGGCTCTGCCTACTCCCCATTCCCAAGAGCTGCAGCACACGTGGACATCATGGGTTCTGTGTGCTCACCACATGCAGGCAGCTCCACCCGGTCCCCATTCCCCCACCACAGATCGATATGGATCAGGATGCAGAGCCCAAGGCAGGCTTGGTCACTGGGTCAAAGATTGCATTAGCAGAACCATAAACATCCCAGCATCCAGCACTGCCATCAAATCTTCCCCTCTGGATTCCACCACAACCAACTGGGATGTGGGGACATGGACAGGACACTGCAGCCCATACCTTGAAGGAGAGATCCCCATTCTCCTCAGAGAGCTGGTTGATTTTTCTGTCCATCTGAGCTTTTTCAGTCTTCAGGTCCTGGCACTGTCTGAAGGCCTCGTGCAGGCGCCCCACCAGGCTGTGGGAAAGGAGGTGGTTGAGGAGGGGGTGCATGCTGGCAGCAGGCAAGGATATCACCAGGGATTGGTGCTGCTGGACATTGCCAAGGAAACCAAAGAAAGGTTCCAAGGGATCTCCCTGCCTTGCTGTGACTCTACCATCAACCCAGCTCTAAAACTGGGTCACAACAAATGGCAAAGCAGAGTAGAGATGAGCAGTGTTTGTGCTTTGCAGAAGCCCAGTAGCTCCAAACTGAGAGCAGAGGCAGCTGTGGGACTCCAGCAACCCCCCTGCAAAGAGAAATAAGTGAGGAAAGGCTAAAAAGAACATGGCACTTCCAGTGGAGGTTGGGCAGCCTTCCTGAGTAAACAATGGCACAGGGACAGAGCAAAGACCAGTGTGACAGGTGTTTTCAAGTGTGTGACGAAGCCCAGTACAAAGGATCAAAGTAAAGGCCTGGGAAAAGGGGCTGGAGTCAGGAGTTCCAGGATCATCCTGAAAGCTTCCCCTTTTCCAGGATTAGGTGAGACCCACATGGGCAGGACTTTGGATAAGAGGCTGGAGTTGACAGGGCAAGAGGGAATGGTCTTCCACTGACAGATGACAGGGTTAGATTGGATATTGGGCAGAAATTCTTCCTTGAGAAGGTGCTGAGGCCCTGGCACAGGTTGTCTACAGAAGCTGTGGCTGCCCCATGCCTGGAAGTGCTCAAGGCCAGGTTGGACAGGGCTTGGAGCAACCTGGTCTAGTACAAGGTGTCCCTGCCCATGGCAGGGCATTCCACTTAAATGAGCTTTAAGGTCCCTTCCAATCCAGATCCATTTTTGATTCTGTGCCTGCTGTCTTCTCCCCAGGGCACAGCAGCAGAGGAACAAGGAGGTTTGCTTTCTCCTGTTTCATGCACTGCTAGGGAAGAGACTGACAACATCTAGGATGTGGAAGTCACAAGGTCCCACCTAGGAGGAAGGAGCATTACCTCTCCTTCTTCTCCCTCAGCTCCTCCATTTCTTTGGGTTCCAGCTGGTCTTCAGTTTGCTTCTCATTGAGCTCTACCAAGCGATCAATACGCTGCTGCATCGTGGTGATCTGAGCATCTGGGGAAGGGGGCAAGAAAGGGCTCGTTACCAACTTTTCATTTCACCTGAAGCCCCCACAAGAGCATTTCTGCACAGAAACCCTCTGCAGCAGGAGATCAAAGAGCCAGGCTACCAGTGCTGCTGCTCAGCATAGGTGTTGCTTCAGTCATGGCTTTTGTTGCCCAGGATATGTAAGGCAATACGAGACAGAAGAAGGAATCTGGAGTCTTCACTTGCAGCCTGGCAGGACGGACCATGCATGAGCAGTTGTGGTGGGGTCAACACAGACAAGTCAGAGAAACAAGGAGGGATCTCTGCCCCACAGACCCCTCCCTGCACCCCAGGATGTCCTGCTAGTGACTGACCCTTCTTCCTGATGAGCTCTTGAGCCTCGGCCATCTGCACCTCCAGCTCTTCCCGGTTCTCTCTCTCAAAAGCCAGCTGCTCATTCACCCTCCGCAGCTGAAACTGCTGGGTCTGCATGATGTCCCCCATGGGTGAAGACGGAGTGCTGGGCAGGCTGCAGGGAGACACACACACAGCTGGATTATCCTGAGCCAGCACAGGCCCCGTGCAGCCAGACCCACTCTGCTGCCCCCATCTCTGGGGCAGGATCTCTTGCCTGGCTCCCCGAGGAACTACTGCCTTAAAAATCTAGGAACGAAACAACACACAGATGAGACAATTTCAATAAAGGAGGTAATATAAAAGTTGGTGTTTAATTGGAGGCCTCTGGGGGAAAACATGGAAAAATGCCCCTGGAGGCCTCCAGTTAAAGACCAGCTTTTATATTACCTCCTTTATTAAAACTGTTTTTTATGTATGTTGTTCTACTGCTAGATTTTTAAGGCATCAGTTCCTCCCCCTTCTGGTTCAACTCTCTTTGGGAGCCCCCCTTTTGCAAGTTGTTTATGGGAAAGTGTCTTGGGAGCTCGTCCTTGGTTCCCAAAAGAACCAAGATTAGAATAGGGACTTCGAAATGTGTTTTGTCTTTCTGTCTGTCAAGGTAGGAAAAATACTGGAGACAGATAGGAACTATATAACTATACAATAACAGTCTACAGAGCTACAGAGTATGAAGAAAATAGAAAAGCAAAAATAATTTTGGCATCAGGTTCACAGGAATGAATTTGATACCACATCACTTGAGCAGAAAGGCCATGCTCCTCCTCTTGCCTGTACTAATGTCAAGCTCTACATGCTGAGCAAAAACCACAACCAGCATGCCCAGGTGGCCAAGGGCATCCCCACTTGTGTTAGCCATAGCGTGACCCCATAGGGTTGAAGCAGTGGCTGCCCCCTGTGCTGGGCACTGCTGAGGCACCTCAATCCTGGAGTCCAGTTGTGGACCCCTCACAAGAAAGACACTGAGGTGCTGGAGAGTGTGAGCAGAATCAACTGAATCAACAGAGGTGGGGAAGGCTCTGGAACATGAGTCTGATGAGGAGCAGCTGAGGGAGCTGGGGGGACACTGCCTGGAGAAAAGGAGGCTCATGGGGGACCTTCTCCATCACAGACACATTTGGAATCAATGGTCTCAGAGGGCTTTTCCAAGCTGAATGAGTCCATGATTCTAAAAGGAGCTGGAGCCCAAGCTCACCCCCACCATCCATCCCCACATCAGGCCAAGCAATGTGCAGCAGGGCATTCCAGGGAGTCAGCATGCAGCCCAGCTACATGTGCGGGTCCCAAAAGCCTCCCTACCCACTTCTCCCTTTCCTCATTTCCCCTGGCATCCACCAGGCAGGGCACATACTTGCTGCTGGGGAAGGAGGCGATCCTCTGCAGCTCCAGGAAACGCACCTCTTGCTTGGGTGGGAGAGAGAACAGTGGGGAACGCTCCTCAAAGCTACTGCTGGACACACTGGACGAAGGTGGCTCTGCTGAAAATAAAAAGGGAGAAGAAGGCTGTGATCTTTAGTATCTAAGAGCCGCTTGGCAACTGAAATCTCAGGAGCACGGGAACCACAAATTCCAGTCAGGATGGAATAGCCCAACAGAGGAAGCCATAACCCTGCCCTACATCCCCATCCCACTCCTGTTCCACCGCTTCTGCAGTCCCCAGCAACTCTGCTCCCACAAGACTGTCAGCATCCCACCTGCTCCACTCCTCCAGGGAAAGGCTGAGCTACTGCTGACTGGGAAGGGCCAGCAGCTCTAAGGCAGCCTTACTCTTGGAGTTTACAGGGCACCATTTTGTAGCTGAGGGCATCTGGGTGGTGCAGCTGCCTTTATGGCAAGGCAGTTACAGCAGCACAAACAGGAGGAAAAGCCAGGGGCCAACACTTACCTCTCCTCTGCAGAAATGGCTCCAGATTCTCATTCAGACACTCCTCGTTATCCAGCACAAATTTGAGGATTGATGCCAACTCAACCTGTGTTGGAGGAGCTGCAGAGTTAGTGGCTCTGCTGCGGGTCACAGGCAGCACCACAGCAGGCATGGGGCAGTGGGCAGCTCCCTGCCTGCCTGTGCTGCTGCCACACTTGCCACCACAAGCTTTTGATAGCCCAAAGCCACCAGTGAGCACCACAGTGCCCACTCCATGCTGTCTTACGATGGGACCCAGGAGGGCTAGTCCTGGAGCACCTTCTGCCAAAGGCACCGCTGTTTCCCCCTGCACCCCAGATCCAGAGGAGGAACCCCAAAGGGATTACCTGAGTCTTGTAGTCAAATTTATTCCAGTCCCCAGGGTTCCTGGAACTCATGGAGGTGTGGTACAAGAGCAGCACAGCCACCTGAGCAAGGGAGGAAAGCCATCACTAACCCCAGGCCAGTCACAAGCACATTGGTGCTGTCTGGGACTAAAATATGCCACACAGTTACCTTGGCCAGCGCCAGCTCCTCTCCATCCAGGAGTTTCTGTGCAGAGACCAGGTTTTCCATAGCATATTTGTCCCTGCAGTGCTCTGCAACATGAAGCACAATTCCCAGTCATACAGGAGCCACTGGGCATGTGGGGTGCCCTGAGGTGACATTCATGGCCAGGAGAGCACTGTAATGCATCCCCAGGGAGAAGGGACACAGGGCAGGATGGGCTCCAGAGTCGAGATCTCAGTGGTCAGCCTTTGCTATTAACTCTGACTTTCATTCCCCTCCCTGGAACCCCACCCTGAATCTCAGCCTCCCCACCTTGGCATCACCCCTCCAACATCAGCACAAACAGTTCCACCTGTGAAGGGTGGGATACAAGGTGGGATATGGTGTCTTCCCTCCAAGAAAGAGGAGCAAGAGTGTGAGATACTTCCCATTTCCCCTCCCAGAATCTCTGCTTGGGTAAAGGTTTTCCACTGGGATTTAAAGAGCTTAAGTCCAGTTACCCATCTAGGAAAACTGCTCCAAAGCAGCATCACCAGAGCAGCCACTGGCAGCCTGCCCTTTACATCCAGATCCTCACTGCTTTGAAGCCTAGGCTCTGGCAAGGATTTCCATCTGGAAGTTTCCCATCAGGAAGCTTTCCCTTCCACAGGCTGCTGTGGGAAAGCTGCTGGCACCTCACAAAGCTGCTGATGTGGGGTCAAAGGGGGTCACTCTGTGGAGGGGGAAGCTGCAGATCAGACTCCCTAAGAGGTCAGGGGCACCGAGTTGGGGCAGTTGCTTCCCCCAGCACCAGCAGTCTTACTCTGCAGGAAACCACGGATGAAGGAGATCCTCTCTGGCAGTGGCTGCTCCAGCACAGATTCCCCCTCCTTGCTCCTGTGTCTGGAAGAGTGCAGGGTTTGCGTTAACTCTTTCTGAAGGGATTAGATCAATGATGAGTTATGTGCAGTGTCGCTGAGCCAGGGCCAACAGCGTCATGCACGGGAGTGAAATCCCCCAGAATCTCCCTGCTGGGAGAGCAGCTGGAGCTGGGCAGCCAATCCTCCCCCCGGCACTGCTTCCTATTCTGCCTGCCAGGCATCCAGCACAGCACAGGGAGCTTGTGCTGGCCCTACCAGCCAGGAAGCACCACAGGAGCCAGTCCATGCACGGAGCCTCGGGCTTTTCTTGCTGCACTTTGGGGAGCCTGAAGCTTCCTCTTGCACTTATTTGTGACTGACTCCACTCTTCCTGAGCAGCCACCAGTTCATGCAATACCCTGAGTTGGAAGGGACCCACAAGTGTCACTGAACCCAATGCAGCTCAGAAATGGCATGCCCAAAACCAACACCAATCATGCTTGACCAGCACTGCCTCAGTACTGTCTCTTACTCCCAAGGTACCAAAACCAGGAACCTGGCCTAGAACAGGGGCTGCCATGAGGATTTGCTCCTCCCCACCGATTTCCCCTGGTGCTACAGGAGCTCCTCAGATCAGCCAGCTGCTATGGCAGCTGCCCTGCTTCCACCCCACTTTATCAAGCCATGGCCAGGCCTCTTTAGAGAGCACGTGCCACCGGGATCCCTACTAATCCAGGCTGGAGCACAGACCCAGGAGATTAACCAGGTCTGACTAAATATACCTGCGGTGCAGGCAGCTCCTTCCTCCCCACCCACTGCAGGCAGATCCCTGCTCCAGGCAGGCTCTCCTTACCCCGCCCAGGAGGTAATTACAGCAGACAGGCTCCCACCGGAAGGGTTTGAAAGCAATGCATGGCAGCCTCACACCCTCTCAATTTGTTTTGCCAGCTCCTTAATCACCAGGCTTCATCCCACCTCTGATGCTCATTATGGCTGTAGATTTTAGTTGTCCCTTGTTCCCAGACAATAAACACAATTCCCAAAAGAGGCATTCCTCCCACCCCTGCCCAGCCACCTCAGGTCCCAGGGCAGAGCACACAGGTTCCAT